ATGAGACAAAGTATATGTGAACTGCTGTATGAAAAGTGAATTTGCTCTGTAAATCTTCACCCAAATCCTAATAAAAAAAAAAAAAAAATTACTGAGTAATATATATAAAACTCCACCCTTAAGCCTCTTGCCTTCATTCTCCCATTTTGTAACGTTAGTGTCATGTATTCACACACACACACACACACACACACAAAAGACATCAACATCACAGAATGCAATATGTGTGATTGTGTACAAATACACACAAATGTGTGTATTTACTATATTTTCATATAATCTAGACCATATATTAAGCTGGAATCTTCCTGATGAAGCCAAATGATTCCCCAAATCAAATCCTTCTTTTCAGACATTTAAAAGTAGTTGAATTTCAGTAGGCTATAGCTCAGCTGAAAGCAGACTAAAATGTAGAAATGTAAAGATAAGAAGAAAAGGGATGTGAGAGAGAGGTGAGAAAGAGAAGGACTTGTGGTTAAAGAGAAGTAAAAACGTGGTTGTGAAGGAGCAATGTGTGTAGGTCAAGAGCCCAGACCTGAGCCATTGCCCATCCTGGTATATATATACTAGCTGTATGATCATCAGTGGAATACTTCTCTGCCTCTACTTTCCAACTGCAAAATGGGGCTGATGATAGTACTTGCCTCATGGAGTTGCTGAGAGGATTACATGAATTGATTCTCATTAAGCCTTTTGAACTATACAAGGTAAGCCCTTGTATAATTGATAACTAGTAGCCATTTTCTTTTAAACAAGTTACTTGTTCTTGAAAGTTACTTTCAGAGTGAGACCAGTAAGCAAAAACACAGGGCTGGTAATCAATATGGTATCCCTCTGAGTTATCTTGGGGTTGTGTTAGAAGATGAACAAGGGTTGCAACAGCCACAAACAATGCCTCCTACAACCCAATATCTCATCAAAATAGAATCCTGGTCTAGATGGGCCCAGATTCTGACCCAATGTGTGAAATCCTGTATTTATTACCTTGGCCTTTTTCTGATTGATAAGGACCCTTAATTTAATGTTTGAAAATTTTAAGTTACCTTTTAAAAATTGATCTTGTCTTCTTACCTGTTGTTATAACTATGTGACTGAAAGCACTTTTAAACATATTATTTTAATTGAAATTATCTATTTATGTTTTTCGGGAGCTCTGGTAGCATAGTGCCTAAGGAATTTGATTGCTAACAGCCCACCAACCACTCCTTGGAAGGAAGATGGGACAATCTACTTCTGTAGTGATACTGCCTCGGAAACCCAAGGAGGGGTCGCTATGAATCAGGTCCAACTCGACAGCACATAACAACAACAACATTTATGTTTTGGTCTCCTTCCACTAAATTGTAAGATGATAGAGATTTTAAAGTAAACTTCTATCAGTAGTGTAGATCCAAAGATCCAATCTGGAGGTGTGGTTTTTTTT